AAGTGCTCTTTCCAGAGGCACCGATTACTAGATAAAAAATTTTCTGCAGCATCCGTAGGAGACGCAAAACCGACAGCCAACCTAATAACTCATTCGAATATTTGAGGAATTTTGAAAGACAGTTAATCGAACATCTGTTCAATCGAATTCGAATAATATGAAAATCGGAAATCGAATAATATTCGTTCATTCAAAAATTTTCGAAAACCAATTATTCGATATCCATTCATTCGAAAAATTTTCAAATATCAATTATTCGATATTCGTTCATTCGAGAAAAATTTCCCTTCGTTACAACTATAAGCTTAACCAAAAACAAGGAAAGTTCAGAGAAAACTCACCGTCCTAGATGCAACCTAGTCAAGCAAACTTGTTTGAAAAATGTCATGGTTTAGGAATTGACTTTGCGAAAAAGATGAATGGTAGAGCAATGCCACATAAGAAAAATATGTTGACTTTATTCGAAAGATCTCATATTACACTACCACAGCTTTCTTCTGCTCAAAGCAGAACTTCCCATATCGCTTTATTCCTACTTCCTGGTCTTCACGATCGTCTTCCCACAATTTGCATTATACATTAAAACTACAAATACAGCATTTACCTCGCACTCCATATGCTGCGAACAGGTACTCCGTTTGATTAGAAATCACGAGTAAATATAATTGACGTTATGGTAAGCAAAGCAGGGATTAGGGTATTATTAAAACGGATAAGCGGATCTTAGCGTATGTAGCGTCAGAAGAATATAGAGCGAATTTCACATTATTGACAGGTATAGAACCGCATTTGCTTTTGCAAGTGAGCAGCATACATAAACGTTTTCGAATAAAAATGTGAACTCACATCACAAAACTCCTGAAATGATATTCTTCCGTCACCATCTTTGTCATGAAAGAGTATCGTTTTGTCGACAATTTGCTGTAGTTGTGAATCCTTCAGATTATTACCAACCATCATTTTTAAAACCTCAAATGAGATCCACCAAGCTCTTCTCTTTCCAAAACCCCTACAAAAAGCTCAAATTACCTGGAATAATTCCCCGTTCGATATGTAGCCATCCCGATCTATGTCGTAGATACGGAATGCAACTAAATAGATTTATG